TTACAATGGATTTTATTCTTTTTACTGTTCTGTACATACGAGCCCTCTGAGTAAAATAACAGATCCTCTGACACTTGGAAGAAGCCACTGCCTTATTGGCTGCCCACAGTGAAATAATTTATATTGGTGTTCGTCCAAATTACAAGGATTGTAAAGAAAGTCCAGAATTCAGAGTAATCAGTGCTTCAGTGCATGGATCCCACTGCTGCCACGCAGGTGAGACACCCACTATTTCAATGAGAGTTTGCAAAGACTGCAAAAAAAATTGGTCCCCAAGTGTTTTCTACCAATTTTTCTCTTGTTATTTTCTTCAGTGGTTAATGGAAAGCGAGGACAAGTGGAGATCATTTAAAAATGATCTTTTGGGCCTCTCCATGGGTTTATTGCCAGGACCTATTTAGAAGAGCATAAAACTGTAAGGGGCCTATAACATTGCTGTATAGTCCATGAGCTTCCTAGGAAAATGAAGAGCCATTCCATTCGTGCTCTGCTTGTTTCTCCATCCTTCCCTCTTCTTGCAAACACGCATGCACGTGTGCGCAGGGACTTCTGGAGCTGCTAATTGAATTCATTTTTGTGAAAGCGTTAACAAATTGTAAGTGACCTTTTATACAAATTTCAAAGTCAAGAATTCACCCCTAACTGCATACCCCTCTTCTGCCATTCACTGTTATGCAAAACCCACAAACAATTAAAAGAAATAACAAAGAGCCCAGCGGCCCTCTTTCCTAATTAGCTGCAGGAGGCAATGCTGGGGAGTGTGGCTAAGTGCTTCAATTACCTCGGCCCTCCTCGTTGCCCTTGTTAGAGCAGACAGGTCCACTGGCCAAAGGGGAACAATTAAGGCAAGGCAGATCCAGGCAGTTTGCAAGGGGATGCAGGGCCGAGCCGGCGCTCGCAGAAGGGCCAGAGCTGTAATCATGCCCCAGATTCCTGCTGGGCTACACAGAGACAAATTAATGGTAGATAGATTGCTAGCTCCAGCCCATCAGTAACAAGGGAGGAAGGGAGACAATATAGCAGTACAAGGGAACTGTAATCAGAGTTTTCCTGTACTGTAAATCCCTTTCAGGGCAGAGGGAGCTGAGCACTCATGTCTCAGAGCTGCGTGCACTGGCGGAACCCCAAAGCCTGGAGCTGAATCACAGATTCCAGCCTGTGCTTTATTTGCTGAAGATAATCTGTGCTGGCTGTGCTGAGGAGCTCCACAAAGACACTGGGACCAAACTGGTTCCCAGCAAGGGACTGATCTGAGCTGCTGGGAGACAGATTGGCTGTCTGAGCCCCAGCCACAGAGAAGGGAGGGGAACACCACAGACAGAACCACCTCAGGACAAAACCTTCCATCATGAGATCTGCATGGACTAGACACAAAAGTGATGCCCCCTATGCTGTCTCCTCTGTGCACCAAAGACCCCTAAAGAGAGATCCTTTCCATGCAAAGCCCACCAACCTCTCAAGAATCAGTTAAAATTTCAGGATGACTTGGTGACCGAGCAACACGGCTTCAATAAAAAGAACACTGATGGCATGATTTCTCTGTTGCACAAACACCCGTACTGCATTGCTATTGCCCACTGCTGTGGAGCTGCCATTGAGTTTAGGGCACACACACCCAACTCCTGGGAGCAGCACTCCCACCATACACTGACCATCAGCAAGAACACTGCTGCACTGGCTGGAGCCTACCAGGAAACCCAAGGGCTGAAGTTTGTTCTAATTACGAGCCCTTTTGTTGTTGAGTAATGCAAGAACAAAGCGATCGCAAGTCAAGTTTTTACCCATTTACAACTCCACAATCCAACTGATTGCATCCTTTAAGCCAGTGTGAAAACCCTCCCAGAGCAAAGCCCTTTGTACCCACTTTTGCCAGGTACCTTTTTTCCCCGCTGCTGTAGAAACCTTTGAAAGTAAGTTTGAGGGGAGACTGACAACCTTGAAACCTCAAGAGCAGCATGGCATTGACGGGTGCTGCTCTCAGAGCCAAGTATTATAGATAGATTTTAATTTCATTTTAACAAAATAGCTGTCTCCAGTGGAAGCAGCATCAAGAGCTAAATGAGGACCCATCTTGAGCTGAATCACGTTGAACAGACCTCGGCGCTGTCATTGATTTTCTGGGAAGAAAAAAAATGCCTCTGGCTACTAAACCAAATTAGTAGTCACTGATGACCAATTATTTTGCCCCACTGTGAACGGAGAGGCGTACTAAAATTCCAGTTTGTCAGACCCAAGGCTCTCTTCTCAAACACCTTTCAACGAGCGTGTACCAAAAGTCCCTCAGATGCTTCTGACGCCTTCCTGTTTTCGGCAACTTCTCCTTCTGCAAAGTTTTAATGAGCTGCTGCTCTGAGGACGGCCTGCCAGAAAGGGACTCCCTCCCAACTCGGTGGAACACTATTTGGCATGCCGCACAAATCACAGCTGTCAGAATTTATACACACATACACAAAAAAAGTGTCAGCCTAATGTTTGCAAATTATAATTACCATTTCCCTTGCATGTCCCTGGTGCCTTCATTTTAGATAAATCCCAGCTCTGAGGTATCAGCTGCAAAGCACTGAAGGCTCACATTGAATAGAATAGATTTAACTAGTTTGTAGCTCATTTAAGGCCTACACTGTTTTATTTTAATATTGTTAATACTTTATTATACTTTTTAACATTGTTTTCACAGTAAAATAGCCTATTAGGAGGCTGCAGCTCCTTTTCCAAGAGATTTCTGGCAGGCTAACGCCCCACATTGTGTAACCAAGTAAGCAGGCTCTTGTCACTTCAGTCGAAAATAGGTCTGTACCCTCACTCTTGAAAGTAAATTAGAGAGAAAGTCTATTAAAGAGACAGGAATTGTTTCAGGGATAATAGTTTTGAAAATGTGCATAGATAAATTTTAAAATATTTAGGAAATGTCAACATTAGAAGTGGCTCCAACTATTTGACTATAAAAGGAGGTGGCTGATTATTTTTTTTCCCCCACAATTATAAATAATTTGTTACATCCTATCAGAACTTCTCTCCCTCTCCTTTCTGTGGCACAGTGCTTGTGCCAAAGCAAGGAGATCTGAGGGGCTGGGAATGAGACAGGTTTTAATCCACAATGCATTTTCAGCAGATGCTTCCCCCCTCCCCACAGCATCCACAGACAGTAACAGCAAAAGCCTCCCAGTGCAGAGGGTGACATCTGGGCAGGGTGACAGGACACATCAGCAGCCCCTAAGCAAGCTGAGGTGTGGGGACATGTTCCTATGGGCCAGCTGCAAAGGCGATGTACCATCACACTGCCAAGCAGCGCTGGTAGCAAGGCCACAACTCCCCATCCACCCCACTGGGATCAGCGTTTGACCTACAAAGACAAAGCTTCCTCCCTGAAATTTCTCCTGCAGCTTTAGTGGAGGAAGCGTGCTCCTCAATATCCCTTCTCTTCCTTGCTCCCTCAATAAGAAAAGCCAGATGAGGGGTCACATCCCACAGCCCAGCAGAACCCACACATTTAAATAGGACACAAGTCACTCCTACTAATTTCAAAGAGGCAGTTCGTGCGTGCATTATTCCAGGCATGACTCTATACTTTGCTGGATCAGGACTTAAATGCGATTAATCACACGGCAGGGAAGAGTTTCTGAAGAGCATCAACCCAAATGTGTCCTTTCAAGCATTTACGTACAAGCCAGCTGTGGACTAATCAGTCACCAACTGGCTGGCCCATCAGAGATGGTAAAGTCACCTCCATAGAGATGTGAAAACACACAGCTATCATAAAAATCCAGGATCAAACCACCATCCTCAAGGGCTCCATGTCTTCCTGCATCCCTCCCTGTTCCTGCACTTCAGGACATCTCCTGCCTCGGAGAGCCAAGGAAACCAGCCTGGGAGCAAGGCTCACCACAGGCTTGTGCCATAACTACCAACGTTTACACCATGCAATGAAACATCCAACTTCAGTTTTGCCATATCTTTTAATCCTTTGCAGATACTTTTGCTCAGCTCTGAGCAGTGTGAAATGCCAAACTGGAAGCAAAGGAAATGAAAAGGGGAAAGAGAGGGACAAATGTAGGTGTCCCCTTTGGCACAGTGGCTCTCCAGATGGCAGTCTGGAGCAGCAGGGCTGATTTGTAAGCAGAGCCTTGAAAAGCCCTGCAGCGTGTGATCTGTGCAGCAGGAGGGCTGTAGCAGGATGCTCTTCTGATATGAATGCCCCCTGGGATGCGTGTTGCTGGATTGCCCATTCAGTATCATTAGAAAACACAACCACAGATTAGGCTGTTCTGAAGCATGTGGACAGCACGTGGGTGGCAAAGGGGACTCCTTTAATTGCAGCAGAAGTTATTCTGAAGACAAGTCATTTCTAATTTCTGCTGTAATGGACTCCCCCTTTGCCAGGGTCCCTGAGCTACTGTAGAGGACCCTTGCAAAGCTCTGAGAAAAAGTTTAAAGGAATTTGAGTTGTTTCCACTGCACATCGGTGGCATTTTGCATTTCTCAGTTTCTCTGTCCAGCTCACTGGTGTCTTGCAGTTGGCCTGGTCAGGTGGGGAAAGCACTGCCTTGTGTTAGGAGCAGCAGCTGAAGGCACTGCAGCTACAGGTATGAGTAGACCTGATGGTTCCAAAGTCAGTGGCTGCTACTGAGATGAGAAAGTCCCTCCCCAACAAGATGTGCAAGGACAAGGACTGATAAAATTCAAGCTAGACATCCTCCATCACCTCCTCCCTTGGGTATTCTGTTTGCTTCTGGGGGAGAAGAATAGCACCAGAACTGGTGATAAGCAATATGCTGTCCTCAAGGCAAGAACCCTGCTGCTCCACTGCTGCCACTGCCAGTTCTACCTCCTGCAGTTTCTGATTAAAGCATCCTCACCTGGCAGGAGCAAGCCTCAATAAGTCCAGGCTACAGCTGTGCCTCTACTTGGTCACCTGTTACAGGACTAGAGAAGGGAATCAGCACAAGGAGGTAGAAAGGAGACCTTGGAGATTCTATTGTCATGTTCTGAATGTTTTCCAGGCCTTCCACTCCCCTGTTTGACCTCCTGCAACACAAATACAAGGAGCTGTGGATGGAACAGCAGAGAGCACGGACCGCAGCGCTCCGGCTGGAGAAGACAAAGGTAGTAACGCTCCAACAGCGCTGCTGCTTGCTACCAGACATCAGCTCCCACTGTCCCACCCACAATAGATGGGCTTCTGCCAGTCACAGGGAGGGGTTTCAGCTGGGAAACCATTTTCCCTGCCTACTAGAAGACAAAGCCTCATAAAGATCAGATCAGCTTCCTCCTAGTCCGAATGGGCCTGGCTCCAGCCAGAGCATGTTCTGCAGGTTGATGCTGTGGGAGTGAACAGCAGATGCGTGGGCCTGGAAGTGCTCTGGAGACAGAAGGGAGGCTTTTTAAAAGTATTTTTTCATTGGGAAGTGTATCAGCTTATCAGAAATGGAGCAAGCTCAGAGCAATGGTGCTTTGATGAAAGCCTTGCTAAAGGCTTAGGCAGCTCTTCTAAGACATCTCTCTGGCTATCATTAAGCATCTGCTTACATCAATATGTCTCTAGTCACGGGGTGCCCACCTAAACTCCTGTTAAATTGAAATGGAAGCTCTAATGCTTTTACAGTACTAAAAAGCTCTACTGTAACAAAGAATTTGGTTTCAAATTATCATTGGTATTTAATGCCATCCTCATGCCAGAAGCCCTGCAGATTGTCCTCTGGAGAGCATCAGCTCCGCTCAGGTTTCCTGCAGCAGTGGATAAAAGAATGGAGCAGCCAACAAACATTCAAGGGGCCAACATCAGCCTTGATCCTGGCATGGCACAGCAGATGCCCTCACCCCAAGCAGTTGTTAGAGCTGTTAAACGTAACAATATTGTAATAACATTTAAAAGCAGCCAATGACTGTTTTATTAGTTAATGACTCAAGGAAGAGTCGGGCTAATATGGTAATGACCAATTTCAGTGGGCTTACTGCCATCACAAAGTATGCTTTATAGTGGAATTGCTATACAGTGTTCTTAATTAGCAGCTACTTTATGAACGCACAAGCCGAGGATGTTGGAAAAATGCATCCCTAACTTATTTAGTAATGACTGATGTTTTAATCACTAAGTTCCCTCCATCAAATTCCTGAATTCTGCAGCCACCAATTACTGAGTTAAGCAACACAGACCTATAAACTAGACCACAGAGTGGACAGATTCCCTGTTTCAATTAATTAGGAGAGTAACACATCAAACAGTCAGGAAATCCCCCCCTCTGTTGAGGGTGGTGGAAGTGACTTTCCCAGCTGGTGATGAGCCATTGCTCTAGTTCAGGTTCCACACAGGCAACAGTCATCTCGCTGAGATGACAGAAAGCTGAAAGTTGGCTGTTGCCCAGCATTTCCTTATCAGTATGTTTTAGGTATCAGCATCAACTGCATGGACATGAAAGACCAGACGCATTAGGGTGATCCAAAGTGACTTATAGACTAGTAACGACCCTGGGATGATCATTTCAAGACACAGATGTGACATACATAACCTTGCAGCCATTTCAGCCTGCTCTTGTTCATCTTTAGACACGGAAGGACAAAGTGCGCGACACCCGCACCACGCTTCTCCGAAAAAACCCAGTGCCTCCAAAGGAGGAGTCCTTTTGGCACCTGCCCCACCTGGAAAAGGTATGAACCATTTGAACTTAGGAACACCTTCTAACCTCACCCAGGTTCCCTGGGAAATCTCTTATCTCACGAAGGCAGACATAATGCTCTTACCTGAAAGCTCCCCAAGAACCAGACCCCATAGCATTCCCACCCTGGACGTGCTTAAACTCCATTGTATTTTGGACCTGGAAAAGGGGCAGCAGTTAACAAATAAAGGACTTATTGCCTAACTTGTGGGCACTTCTGTGATCTTCATCAGATCAGAAACACCTTATTATACCTCCCATCAGTACTGGCTTTTGTTCTCTGTCGGTATTCCTGCAACTGCTCTACTTGACCATAACAATCAAACCTACCTTTAGATAGTCTAACATTTTATCAGCTCTCACCATAACTAATTCAAGCCACGCCAGATTAAAGCATTCCAAGACTGTAACACAATGGGAAGCACATCAATGACAGCAGAGCAACAAGGTCCCAGGCTGCACACAGTGAGGATTTTCTCAAATACAACAGCCATGAGCACAGAAATAAAGGAAAGAAGACGCTTACCTCCAGAAAGCCTCAGGTACGCAGGGATCTCCAGCAAAAAACTCACCCCTTCACTGCCAACCCTGGTCTGGGCAGGGGTGGATCCTGGCTCCAGCCCTTCCATCATTCAGTGCATTGGATACACCTGAGCTCCCCTGGGTTGGCCCTGCCTTCCCACCAGGTGCTCAATCACTGCTACAAGCCCCGACTTAGCATTTCTGCTACAAAGACTCATTTTCATCCCAAGAGTTGGAGGTTCCCAGAAAGCCTACACTCATGATATCTCCCTAAACTACCTGTTTGATAATATTCACCCTGAGACTGAGCAAAGGGTCTAGCCAGGCTACAGATGTGCAAGACAATTCCTTGAACTGATCCAAATAAGAGCTAAGATGATGATTTCTTATTATTATCCCAGCAACAGGATCTGCTTCCTGAATTCATCAGCACATCCTGCTGTGCTCTGTAATACCTGCGTGAATTCTCCTAGCTTTGTTTGTGGTGTAAAATGCAGGGAAACGTCAAGTGAAAATCTAGGAGGCATTTTAGAAAGGTAGAAATAAGAGTTGGGCAAGAGGAATGGAAAGGAGACACCAAAAGGTCTGAAAGCATGGAAGCCCTTCAGAGAGTTGGCATGCCAAAATCATATCTGGCATTGATACTATTGCAAAGAGCCTCTCAACCCTCTGTTCCAGCCCTGGTTCTGATGGTTCTGGTTGGTTTTGTTTTTGGGGTTTTTCTGTACCATGCTGTAGATTTTTAACTGCAGTTTAAAACAATGAAGGAGCCTTTTGACTTCCTGAAGCTAATTTACTTGTACAAGTTGGAGAGTTTCAACCAAGAAATGTATTTTGCACCACCTTGATGTATTCCTCTTACATCCTGTCTAAGACTGTCCGATTAGCATATGTCAGTAATCATTTATCCCAGCTGCCTGTCAGCACAAAGCTGCTGCTGCGGCTCGTGTCAGGGAAAGAACATGACCGATCGCTGTTAAACAGATTGTGTAAGTCACACGAGATACTGGGGCAAGCCTTCTCTTTAGAGCTCCTCTCACCCCAGACCTTTCCATCACTATTCATTTTTCAGCCTCCGTTTTTCTTTGTGCTTTCCCTTTTGTTTCATCCGTGATTGCGGTTGGATTCCCCCCACAGCCACAGGTCTCAAACACCACCTGAGTCTTTCTGTCTCTTCTCTTCTTCCTCCCTCCTCTTCCTCTCTTTCTCAGGAGCAGCATCCAGGGAGAAGAAAGACACAGCATCTTCTATTTTCTGCATTCCCTTCTCATTACCTGGAAGGCTCGCCTTTCCCTAGCTGCGGATCTAACAGGCACTGTTCATGTTAGAACTTGAATCAGGAAATTAATTGCTTAGTTGAGTTTCAGTGCATGATTTCCTCCATGGAAAAGCAAGTTCTCAAACATCCATAAAAGTGTACCCAGTTAAGAGCAGAAATACCCCAAAGGAAGCTGTTGGCTTCAAAGAATGCTTGATAGACTCCAAACTGTGCTTTAACCATCTCTATAAGTTTGGGTTCTTTCAAAGCAAAAGCCTTGAGACACAAGCTGGCCCAAACCTTCACCCAAACTCAGACAAACTCAATCAGTCATACCATCCCATCTTTTAGAAAGGTGACAAAGTGCAGCACTCCAAAGAGGTAAGGGAGTTTGTTGATACACCATTACTGTTCTCATGAAATCTCTGGACTAATCACTAGATCCATGCAAGACCTGGCACCACGCTAAAGCTCATGGAGGAAGCAGAAAAGAAAACAGAGAAGCTTCGCCCTTCCCATTAATTGTCTCTGCCTGCTCCCTGCATTGCCAGGGCTGCATGGCATTACCTAGTCAATGAGTTGCTAAAGTATAGACAAATTGACTGTTTTCATTTGGTTTCAGCCCCAGTGCCTTAGAATAATGGCCCACACCATTAGGCTAACCTAATGTGTGGTTTGCACACCCTCTCACACCAGGGGCTCTCCAGCTCTGCGTCTCGCTCTGCAGGACTGACCTGGTGCGTGGTCCCCTGGGCCCCCCAGGCCCCCGCTCATGGAGAGAGGCAGGGCATGGGGAGCCAGTCATGTCCTGGTGGGCAGTTCATTAGGGGAAGTTGTCCTAGAGGGTTTTTTACATTTATATGTTACAAATCCAAACAGAAGTTAACTCCTTGCTCACCTCACAAGGCATTCCTGCTGCCCTCCACTTCCTCGACCACCTCCAAGGCAAAAGGCCTCCATCTTGTTCCGCCTGCAGCAATCTCAGCTCAGCTCAGGTTCTGCTAACTGAGCTGGGACCACGCACCAATACTTCCTTTTTGTCTGCACTACATTCCTGGGGTCTATAAGAGCTCAGACACCCAGCATGTACAAAAGCATGTATCCTGTCCTCGTGTTTCCCATCACTAACATTGCATTGACCTTGGCAAAATGGCATCTCCAGTGTCAAATTCTGCTTCCAAACTACATCATCCCTAAAGCACTGCTGTCTGCAGAGAGCCAGTGCAGGGTGAGGCTTTGGTTGCCTCCATCTGAATCTTTGATGGCCATAATCCAAATCAAGAACATCTGATGGCCATAATCGAAACCAACACAGGCCGCTCAGCAATAGATTTTCAGGGCTCTGTCAAGTCACTCCAGAAGGACGTTTGTTTTTGTAGCAGCACCTCATGATGTGGAAGGACAGAATTTGCACATGTGTCAAAACAGCTCCGTATTCTGTGTGTCACAGACACAAAGTATTGGCTTTTCTTTGCTCATTAGAGAATCCCAACTTGCACACACATTCAAGGAGGCTTTCCAGAGAGAATATTCTTGTTTACTTGACCAAACAGGGGGAGGAAAGAAAATGCAGCAACTTTGGACAACATTTTTGTCAACGTGTGCTGCCTTCCCGAGCAGATGAAACGAGCTGTGCTCGATGCACGATATGAATAAGCGATAAGCAATTGACGAGCAAGTGTTCGGGTACCTTGGCAAAAGACTTAATTTGCAACCTGGCACAAAATCAAAGGCTCTGTCAACGACTGAGCGGCTCTCCCGCGTATGCCTTGCATTACCTGGGAAAGCTCTGTCAGGTAAATTTCCAGTGAAAGTAATTAGAGGAATCCCCACTGTATAAACTTTGCAGCAAAATTCTGGGCTCCAGAATTTGATTCTCACCAGGGATCCGATACCTGCTCACAGCCTGATCTTTCGTCAGAATTAACAGTTGAGGTTTAAGACATACACACAGAAATGTTCTGCATTTTTTTTTAATGCCTTACCTCTATTTTTGTCTGAAGAGCTGAACTGACAAGCGTGGCTCATGTAATCCTGCAATTGTTGCCTTGTCAGAAAAGCCATAGACTGTGCTTAACCAACCTGTGCTTGATCCACACAGCAGGATGGCTTCGCAGTGCAGCACTGGTCCTCCTGGGTTTGAGGGGGACAACAGAAATTCTTGGAGTTGGGGCCTGGATGGTACATAGACCAAAGCAAGTTTTCTGTCACCATGACACCAGATCAAACCTCTCTTCTAAAGTTGGGTTTTGGCTAAAAAATGGTCTCACCTGATGGCTGATCCGTGGCCAAAGTGAAATGAACTGGGGGATAACAGCCTAGCCAGGATTCTTTGGATTTTCTTGTTTTGCCTAACATAAGAACTACCAACAACACAACTGCTTGGAGCAGCCTATATCAGATCTCAGCAATGCATTTCCATGGCCCAGTCTTTCCCAGCATCTCTTCACACATACCTTGTATGCTCAGCCTCTCCATTATACCCTACTCTCCCCTGTGCCACTCTCAGTCCTTCCTTCACCTCAGAGGTGTGGTAGAATCATAGAATCATTAAGATTGGAAAAGACCCCTAAGATCAACTAATCCAAACATCAACCCATCACCACCACATCCACTAAACCTCCATCCTTCCTCTGCCATTGCACTGCTCTCCAACATCTCCTGGTTGACAGCAACAAAACAGCATAAAAAGAAAAAAAAGAAAGAAAGAAAGAAAGAAAAGGGAAAAGATATTTCAATCTGGCCTATTATTGAAGCCCCAGTCCAGAAGACCCCACATCGTGTAAGCTCATGAATTCCAGTATCAGAGTGAACCCAGCCAGAGACCCAAGCCTGTGAGCTCTGCAGCGTGAGGCACAGTGCAGCTCAGCATCCCCCTGTGCAACCTCACAGCCTGGGAGATCTCCAGCTGCACCCAAGCCCTGATGTCCAATGGCAGCACAAGGAGCTGCTGACACCCAGGGCCCATTGCTGTTGTTAGAGATTCAACTGTGACGGAACAGATGTGGGGTGCTTGCGGCCTCATGGGTTGCAGTGGAGTGAAACCACAAATGCTGTGCTGTCTTCCAGGTAGGCCCCTACCATTGCTGCTTCCTCGTACAAATCCACAGGAATGCTTTGGATTGAGGTTTCATTCATGGCCATTCGGCCTTCTGTAGGGACTCTGTTTGCCACCTGACAACTTCATTTCCATGGCACAAAAGGGCTCCAAGTCAAAATCTCAAACTGCCCAAACCGAGCAAGCTGTGAAATCCAACAAACGTCTGCAGCCCTTCTTTGCAGGAGGGAAAAAAACGCAAAGTCTCAATGGGGCATTAAACCAAGCATTTTCTGAAGCCTTTGCACACACATGGACCATTTAGCCCAAACTCCTTTGTCCTTATTTCCTTATCTTCTCGGAATTAGAAAGGTGGGGAGAGAAGACCCAGCAAATTCATTAAGCAACTTCAGGACGAAGCCACCGGGAAAAGCCGCGGTGTTTGTAACCCTGATAACCCAACACAGCCCTCTGAGCACAGCTCAGCTTGGACAGAATAACGTCTGTTTTAAAAATACCTGCCTCTCCCTAACTTGTCATGGCATTTGTTGACAACCCTATTGAAAGCCGCTCTCAGTGCAGCTGTGAAGGATCTTTCAGCACCTCTTTCTCTCTCCTAGACAGTTTTTGAAAGGGAGGGGAAGGAAGAAAAAAAAAAAAAAAAAAAAAAAAAAAAAGCCATCAATACTGGGGGAAAAAGGCATCAGCAGCCAACATCAGCTGATGAAGCGCCTCACCTGGGCCCCCAGCGCACCGCCTCCAATTAAATCAAAATGGTTTGTTTTTAATGGTCTTTTACACTGACAAGTGGGCTATCATTCCAGGCCTAGAGAGCTGTCAGGGAGCCGAGGCAAATCCTCCGTTGATAATGCCCAATGCTTCCAATTAGGAGCCGAGGCCGCTCCTGGCGCACTAACGATTCCCCAGCCTCCCCCAAGGCCCCTTCGGCGCTGGCTGTTTCGTCTTCCCTCTTCCTCCGCCGCAAATTACTGACACAAAACGGAGGCGCCCCGGTGCCTCCTCACCACGCCGGGCCCCGGCCCTGTTGGATTTAATGAGGCGATGGAAGTTTTTGCGGATCTTTCGCTAAATTCTTTTCTTGTTTGACAGCTGCTTGAGTGTTGACCTTATAAAAGATTTAGTGTTTCTCATTATTTTCTGTCAAGCTTTACAAGTGATAGCTTCACGGAAATCATTTGCATCTCGATGCGCGCGCGGCTCTGTCTGTACAGGGACGCTCGGCGCAGCTCTGAGTGCGTGCAGCACCCATACATTGTGTGCTTTATTCCCTCCTCCCCACCAGAAAGAAAAAAATCCACCAACACGAGGCTGTTGTTTTGTGTCGTTTTGGGAAAAGAAGAAACAGGAGAAGGCTTGAAAGGCCCAGGATTTCTCGGGCTCTGTAAATGAGGGGGGTTTTGAAAAAGGAACAGAGATTGGTTTCCTGTAAAGAGAGCTCAGGAAAGTGTTTTGTCACCCACTAAAAGCATTCGATCAAATGGATGATGGAGGTGGGGTTGGGTGTAAGGGCGGCTGTGTTGCAGAAGCAAGGAATGGTAGAAGTGGGGCTGGGAGACCCCTGGGCTGCTCAGTGCCTGCCATGCATCACTGCACAGCTGCCTCCTGAGCCCACTCTCCCCTTGCAGCTCCGATGTGCCTCCCATTGGGAGCTGACCTGCCTGACCACCCAGCAGCACCCAGAAACCATCCTCGGGACGCCGCCTCAGGGAGCTCTGCCCACCCTGCATTTCTTACATCTCCCTCTGTATTGGTTCTCCTCCTATGGACCTGTCTGCTCACACTGTGCATGTGGTTGTACTAATGCTTGACGAGGGATCTCTTACAGACCTCCAATTTAAAACATGAGTGACACTCATAAACCCAAATGAAAACAACACCCCTAAAGCTTTAATATGTATTTTGGGGGCCAAGTTTGTTTTACTGACCCTCTAACTCTTCGCAGCAGGGGCTGATGTTAAAGCACCCCATCTAAAAGTGTCCTGTGAGCTTGAATTTGTCAATAAATATGCAAAGAAAAAGAGCAAAACATTGCTTCTAATAAGCAGAAAGAAACTGCAGCTCCATCATCCTGCAAAGGAAACCACCACGCTTGTGCCTGCAACCTGCTACAGCCAAAGCTCTGAACCTGAAATTGAAACCAAGTCCTGTTGTAAGCCCATAGCCACATCAGAGCAACGGTGAAGATCATCAGCTGCCTCTACAGAAAGTACCACTGGGTTCATCATTGAAAATATGAATTAGAAGAATCAGAGATGTGGATCCATCACCGGCACCGACTTCTCACACCGGTCTGTCACAGGAAGACCTCTGACCCAGGGACACCCTTATCTTGTCTCTCATTACTGGCCTGGGACTAATCCATACACCTCAGGTATCCCTCATTATGAGGGGGTTCCTCATTTTTTAACGCAGCACTTGTCCCCTGCCTTACACCTGGTGCTTCCCACTTACTCATGCTGTGGCATCACTCACAACTTTGTCAAGGACTCTGCTAATTTTAATTACAGCCGGCGGTGGCTCAGTGTGACATTTCTCACCCAGGAGCATTGCACCAGCCTGGAGTGAACAAACTGCCGCCGCCTCCCCTGTGGCCTCAACTCAACCCCACAAAGAAACGTTGCCCTGCCCAGCTCCCAGGAAACGCAGCCAAGAGAAGCAGCTCAGCTGTCCCTACATACAGACAGCAGATTTTTCTAACAATCCCAGCCCTGGTCCCACACAGGTCAGAGGGAAGAACTGCTGCATCTGCAGAGGGAGGTCAGAGCTGGCTTGGGGGGCTCTGGGGCTGCCCACCCATCTCTGCAGCCTGGGCTCTGCCTCCCTCACGCCCTCCCAGCCAGAGGTTGTGGGGAAGCAAGAACATCCAGAAACAGCTGGCTGAAGTCAGGCACTCGAATGCAAATGGAAGCACCCGGATGCCTTCCTCCAGAGAGGGGGAATAGCAAAATATGCTTTGTTTGTCTTGATTAATGAGATTACTAGCAAGCTTTTCAGGGCAAAGACTGCTGTGTATTTTTACATATGCAAAAGCTGACATCCATCCAGTCTGAGCAGGACAGGGGGGAGGGAAGCAGGAGCAAGCTCTGCACGTCCACACGAGGCAGATCTATGGCACAAGGCAACGTCAGGGCCCTGATGGTAACCCCACTCCAAACATGAAGATGTGCTCACACATCTCAGTTTAAACCTGTATCTGCAACCTATTTTACTTGGCCAGCTGCTCATGTAACCAATCATCTATCTGCTCCTTTCACTATAGGTCGGGCCTCATCTCAGTACTTTTCCAGACTGTGATGCTCGTAAGAAGGCGCTCAGTTCCTCCCATTGAGAAGTGGCTGGGAGAAGCAGTTCCCTCCCCAGGGCAGCCATACATCGAGCTCAGGTCAGGACCTCAGCCAGCATGGAGCCCTGCATCGGCCACAGACATAGGATTATAGGATTTCTCAGGATTTAAAGAGTTGCGTTCATGCAGATGTAGCCAAATAAACCACATGTGGAAATCAAGGTCCTATTTCTGCCTGTTCATTGCTTCATGGCTGATGCACACCAACGCTTTTCCTCAGTACGACCACCACAGACCTTAGGCTCGGGGTAACAAGTCACAGTGCCAAGAGGGCAGTGCTTGTAGCAACTCAGTACACAGGGCAAGGACAGCCTCCTCCCCCGCCTGCTCTGCACAAACACGTTAAACCACATCCCGCTCAACACCCAGTCTAGGACAGCTCCACAACCCATCAGTCCTTCCCACTGGCTGCCGAGCAAGCTCCCCTTTGCTGCCTGATTCAGCAAAGCTCTTGCCCGTTTGCCTGCATGCAGCCATCCCAGCACCTGCTGCAAACCCTCTGCCAAGCCGAGGCCCCTCCGCAGAGCTCTGTGCGTGCGCTCAGCCCCCGCCGATCCTTCGCGCACAGCTCAAGAGCCGCTGCCGCCCGGCTCCGTTCTGTGTTCCCCCGCTGCCGGCAGGGCAGATCCGCGCCCCGACCTCCCCCGGCCCCATTCCCTGTCCCCTGTACCGGGGGGCCCTGAGCCGCCCCGCACGCCCCGGCGCTCCTTGTCCTGCAGTGACACCCACTGGTAACGCTGCTCTACCGCTGCCGCAGGCTCCCCGCCGCCCCCCCCCCCCGCTCGTTGCGGCCTTCGGGCCGATTTTTTTCCCCACTCCTCCTACCCGAACGCTACCCTCATCCCGACCGCTCTACTCTCTCTCACCCGGATACCCTCCGGGGAACGGCGGCGCCCCGAGGAAATGGGTTTTCAGGGCAGCTAGGTCTGCTTTGTAGGAAAACGACAAGGTGTTGGAACTGAAAGAGCTCAATCCTGTGGAGACAGCAGCACAGCACAGCATCTCTTCTCCCTCACCCCGATGTGGAGGTGTGAGCCCTGCCACGGCCAGCAGATCCCGCTCCTCCAGGGACATCATGACTGCAGAGCAGAGGCTGACAGGGATGGGGACACCCTTGTTGAATAAACCATTTGGGATCCATCTGGCCAGTGGGACACGGGGCAGCATGTCCTGGTGCTCCGCCAGCTTCACTCCTGGGACTGCTCCTAAGCTGCTTTTCAGCCTTCATGAAAGAGGGGCTGCCAGGATGAACCTGGGCTCTGCTGTATGGGGATTTACCCTATAAGGTCCTGCACAGCCTCAGGTGCCCCAGGGTTCTGCAGGATTCAGCTCAACCAAAGGAGAAAGCTTGCATCTGGGGTAGACCCACACTGACAGTGTCACCACTTGAATTAATGAGCTCCTAACTGCTGAATGCCGGGATGCCGTGCACTGGCAAAATGGGGGACACTTCTGCCTTGGAGAGTCCAGTTTTGAAATAATAATAATATTAATAATTCATTTTAATGAATGTCAGCCACACTGACATTAGGACATGAGCAGTGAGCACCTGTAGCTGCTGGGAACACCAAATGTAGCCACAGAGAGATACGGGGCCTTGCCTGGGCATGGCACAATACTGTGTGCACTCAGGGGTGAGGACTGGACCCCCCCTGCCTGCACCCCATAACTTTGCACAGAGAGCAGAGTTGAACTGGAGATCTCCTTGTGACTCCCTGAGGGCCAGTGCTCCATTCAAGAGAGGGAATGCCAGCATCAGACTCACCATTCGAATCAGTCCCCTACGTGTGTGATTATAACACAATACCAATCCCATCCCTGATCCATCTTCTGGCTCCCATTCTTGGCCCCAAACCCAACCTCTGTGCTGTTCCAAGTGCCCATTTCCATCCCAAACAGGGTGCTATGGTTGGATTGGGTGGGTTACCAGAGCCTAGCATGCTGCAGAGAGCTGGAAAACCCCATGGGGGTCTTTGCCCCGTTTCTCACTGGGACCAGTTGCTGTGCATCTCTCGATCTGGTGGATGCTGCGAAAGCAATGCCAGCAGATGAATCATAGAATCACAGAATCATTCAGGTTGGAGAAGACCTCTAAGATCCCCAAATCCAACCCCAACCCACCCCACAATACCCACTGACACATCCCTCAGTGCTACATCACTGTGGTTCTGGAACACCTCCAGGGACGGTGACTGCACCACTCCCTGGGCAGCTGTGCCAATGCCTGACCATCCTTTCACAGGAGGAATTTCTCCTAATATGAGAACACGGGGGGACGTGCAGCCTCGAGCCAGGTCCATTGCACCCCCAGATTTGGGGCAGAGGAGGGACTGACGGGGCTTTCCTCCCGTCCCTGTCCACCTGCGGGGCTCCTTTGTTCCCTGCCCCGCTCACAGCCAGCCCTGAGCCGGAGCGGAGGGCAGGAGGTGGGGGGCCCTGCCTGGCCGCTGCCCGACAGCTGGCAGCCGTGCAGCCCGGGGGGGCCCTGCCGCCTCCAAGCTGCCGGCCGAGAGCGGCTTTGGAAGAGGGACAAGATGCAGCTGCCCGGCCGGGAAGGGGGGAAAAGGAAGAAATCGACTATTTGAGAATTAAGCCGCAGTATCTCTCTCAAATAGCACGGCTCCACGCACGCGGGCGCGGACGTTCTCCTCTTGTCTGCCCCCAGGAAAAGAGCCCGGGAGGAGGCAGGAGCGGTCGGAGCGGTCGGAAGGTGGGAGCCGTGCGAGAGCGGCGAAATGTCCCGACGGGGCGGGAGGGGGAAAAGAGAAACTGTGCGGGGCGAGCAGCTCCAGCCAGGCCGGGGGGTTCGTTGGAGGGGTAATTGCCGAACTGACGGCAGCGCCGCCGCTCCGGAGTTCGGCACACGGTGGCCCCGCGTTTGCTTTTGCAAAAGGCTCTCCGCCCGTTCGCAACGGATTTCAACGAATGGATTCAACGAAATCCTCAGTTCCGAAGCTCAGCTCGGGCTCAGAGCTGCCGCCTCTGCGTTGAGGCTTCGGGAGGGGTTTCAGCACTTTTCCTCACCGTTCGTTTTTTTTTTAATTATTATTATTTTGTATTTCGAACGCTCAGCAAAACTTTCCCTGCTCGGAGCGAGCGGCGGAGCAGTTAATTGCGGGGAGGCGAGCAGAAAGCAGCAACCCTCCGTGTGCCCCCGACCCCCCCCGCGGCTAATCACCCCATTAAGAGCCCCATCAGCGCCATAATGACAGCAAAGAGGGCGGAAACCGCCCGGAAAGCGCGAGGACACGGGCGGCAATTAATTCGCGTTAATCAAGCTGCAAGGTGTCTCCGGCGGGGAGTGACAGCCCCCGAAACGCCTCGCGGCCAATGGGCGCGTTCACACGGCTGAGGCGAGGGGGGAGCGCTAGCCGGAGCGGCACAAGTTCATTTCGTTCTCCTTTTTTTAATTGTTTAATTTTGTGTTATTTTTACACCGCCCCCCCCCCCGCCCCCACCGTGGGGAAGCCGCTGTCCGAGGTGCTGAAGTCGGGGTGACTCCGGAGCTGTCCGAGGTCCTGAAATTGGCATCCGGAGTGACTCCTGGTCGCGGTGCTGACGCTTTGGCTCCGGTTTGACTCCGGTTCTCCCACTCGCCCCCCCCCCCCCCCCTTCCCGCCCCCCGGATCCCCCCCGGCGCTGTCCGAGGTGCTGTCGGGGAAGGGGGGCGCCGCGGCGGCCCGAAGGCTCCCACCCCCTCCGCCCTCCCCTCGCCCTCCCCGTTGATTTCTGGATCATTAAGTGGTTAAGGCGCTGCGGAGCCCTCACTATCGATCGCTGCCTCCCCACCACCGGCTGGCAGCCCCCAGCCCCGCGGCTCCGGGCAAGGGTGGGGTGGCCGGGAAGGGGCCCCGGGTGAGGTCGGGGTCCGTGCCCCCCCCCCCTCCCCACCCCCTCGGCGGCCAAAGTTTGACTCTGCCTCCCTCTCCCCCCTCTCCTGTCTGTCTGTCTGAGTGCAGCTGGGCGCGATGCTGAAGACGGAGCAGCCCTGGATGTAACACGCGGCGCCTCGGAGAGCCCTGCAGCAATTGTTGCCCGGATCTCAAGCTGAACTTCGCTCTATTTTTTTTTTTTTTTTTTCCCTTTTAGATTTTTTTTTCCTTTTTTTTTTTTTTTTCCTTTCGATTTTTGTTGTTGTCGTCGCCGTTATTGTTAATTACCAACCCGCTTCCGCCGCGCCCTCCCCGCCAATGCCTGTGTGAGCGCCGGCACCTCGCGGGGGCCATGGAGGGCTCCACCGGCTTCGGGATCGACTCCATCCTCTCGCACCGAGCCGGCAGCCCGGCCGTGCCCAAGGGGGACCCGCTGGTGGGCGACGGCCGCTCCCCGCTGGAGCTGAGCCCCCGCTCGGAGGGCAGCAGCGGGTGCCCCTCTCCGCGTTCCCCGGAGGCGGCGGTGCGGCCGGGCCTGGACGCGCACCTGCAGCCGGGGCAGCTCTCGGCTCCCTCCCAGTCCCGAACCGTCACCTCCTCCTTCCTCATCAGAGACATCCTGGCCGACTGCAAACCCCTGGCCGCCTGCGCGCCTTACTCCAGCACCAATGGACCTCACGGCGGGCAGGAGGCGGCGGGCAGGATCCCCACCAAACCCGGAGAGGACTTTAGGGAGAAAATGGAAAAAACCACCAGCAGCTCCTCCTCGGACTCCGAGTACAAAGGTAAGAGCAGCGCAGCCTTCTGCGGGGCCCCGGAGATAAAAGGGTGGGGGGAACCGGGGTACCCCCGAAATTCGAGCGGGCTCGGCACCAACTTGGGGAAACTTCGGGAGGGAACGATGGGGCCGTGCGCGGCGCGGGGCCGGGGGCGCCCGGGGGGTTCGCAGCGCCAGGTTCCGCGGACAGAATTTGGTTCTTTCGTTCCTATCCGCGGGGAGAAAGGAAGGGAGAACCGACAGGGAAAAAAAAAGCGAGGAAAATAAGAGAAAAGAAATAATAATGCTAAATGAAATTATCACGGGTTTTGCCGGGTATTTCCCCTGCTCCGGTAAGAAACGAATAAGAAAAGCCGGCGAGGTTGGATCCGATTTGTATTATCGGTGTTACTCCCGGTGTTGTTTTGGAGATGGTTCGGAAAGGAGCACGGCAGCCCCAGGGCTGCGGGGAAGCGGCTGCGGCCTCTCGGGCCCCCACAGCCTCCGCCCGGGCCGAGAGGAACGGGAGCAGCACGGGGGGGGGTCGGCATCGACCAACCCCCCCCCCGAACCCCGTCCGCCCGCAACCCCCCTCCTCGCTCTCACCCCCCAAAAAAAAAAAAAAAAAAAGAAAAACAAAAAACAAAAAAACAACACTTCCAACCGGAAAAATTGTAGGGCCGGGGGGGCGGCCCCGAAGAGCCCCGAAACGCCGGGGGGGCTCCTCGTTATGATCGAGGGACGGGGCCGGGGCTGGGAGTGAGCCGGGGGGCAGCGGGGATCGGCACCGGCGCTGCGAAGGGATCGAAAACGGCCGCGATCCTCCCCGCGGATCTTGAGTTTGTTTGTTTGTTTGTTTGCTTTTTTGCTGGGGGGGGGGGGGAAGATGCTGTTTTTTTGGGGGGGTTTCTTTACGCTTCCTGAATTGTCCCCCCGCAATTCTCGCAGCCTTTATCCCCTTTCCCAAAAAAAGGGCCGAGCCTGGAAAAAGCGAGAGAGGAAAGGAGGGAGGAACGGAGCGGGGCCGTCTGCAGGCGGGGAGAGAGCTTAAATGGGGGGAACCCTGCTTAAACAGGGGAGAAAACACCGCTGTCATGGGGGAAAAGCCTTAGTTAAACGGAGTGAAAACTCTGCATACATGGAGGTAAAAACCCTGCTGGAATGGGAGAAAGCCTTAAAAACAAACAAACAAACACAGAATAAATACGTTTTAACTAGGATTAAAAACAGTGCCCGATTGGAGTTGAAAGTCTTCGCGTAAATGGGGCAGCAGAGGAGGGCCGCAGCTCCTCCGACCCCTTTTTGCCACTTCGGACATCGCCTTTCCCGGCCAACCCCCCGAGTTCGCGCACGGAGGGGCAGCGCGGGCGCCCAGAACCCGGAACGGCCCGAACCCCGCAACTCAGATCCGTGCTTTTCTCCTTATGGCAGCTCGGAGCGGCCGGGGCACAAAACACGGAGCCGCCCAGGGAACTTTTTTGGGAGCTCCAGGGAGGCGGATTTACTTTTCCCGGAGTGTGGTGGAGAAACTCCGCCAAACTTTGGGACGGACCCGGACCCCCCCTCCCCCCTGGCCTCATCTTCCTTCCCCCCCCCCCCCCCAGCTCGCTGTGCCCGCTCGGCCGGAGCGGAGGGTTCCGGCTGAAGGCTTTCGCTCCCCGGTGGCTCAATTAACGGGATTATTGTCTTCCTACAGAGAGGCATCAGCTCGCGGCCCGCGCAGCCCCGGCCCCACCAACCCCCACCGCCGGGAAATTTAACATAAACCCGCAAACACCCGCGGACGCCGATTTCTGCCACCTAATCCTTCGGGAGGGGGTGAGGGAGGGCACGGCGAGCACCAACACGGACTCTTTCTTCCCTTTTTTTTATGATTATTTTGTTTTCTTTCTGTTCATTTTAAGCTTTTTCCCTCCCCCGTTTTCTGTTTTTTGATTTCTTTTTTTAACGTATGTTTTTCCTCTCTGCTCTTTTCCTGTTTCTCGCTGATGTTTCGCAGCGTAAATCCCCTCCGGTGCGCGCAGCACCGGTACCGAACCGCGGCCCCCGACCTCTCGTTAGAGGCTAAAAAACGGCCCAAGCGGGGTCATCCCGCAGCATTTCGTTGTGAGGCTCCGGGAGGCCGAAGGCTCCGGGCCCGGAGACTTTTCTCTCTAAACATACGTTGCCTCAGCATCTTTATTTTGGGGTTGGGTTTGTTTGGGGATTTAAAAATGGTTTAAATAGAAATTAAAAAAAAAAAAAAAAAAGGAAAAGAAAAGAGATAAAAGGAAAGGGAAAAAAAATAATAAGAGAAAGGAAAAATTAAAAAATGTGGGAAATGTATTTAAATAAGGAAGAGAAAAAGCGACCTGCGGGGTTTGCTGCCTGCCGGGCGGAGCGGCGCAGTTGGGGCTGCGGCGGCCCAGGCAGCTCCGCACCGCACCGCAACGCGAGGCCCCGCGGATTCGAATTGAGGGAACTGCGGGACAAACGCTGCGGGAATCCGCGCGGTGCCCGAACTCTCTGCTCCCGTTTGTTGCTACCGCGCTTTGCCGCTTTCTTCTGAGCGCGTTTCCAGTCCCTTCCTGTCCTGACTCGGCCTCTCTTCCTTCCTCTCGGCCCAGTGAAAGAAGAAGGGGACCGGGAGATTTCCAGTTCCCGGGACAGCCCCCCGGTGCGGCTGAAAAAGCCTCGCAAAGCCCGCACCGCCTTCACCGACCACCAGCTGGCCCAGCTGGAGCGCAGCTTCGAGAGGCAGAAATACCTGAGCGTGCAGGACAGGATGGAGTTGGCCGCCTCCCTCAACCTCACCGACACGCAGGTGAAAACGTGGTACCAGAACAGAAGGTAAAAACGCACCGCTCGTCCCCTCCCGCCTCACCGCGTCGGGCCCCGTCCTGCCCCTCTCCCGGCCCCGCAGCCCCGAGCGCAGCGGTTCTGCATCCCGCCCCGCCCCGCCCCGCAACCGGGGGGACGCGCACCCCCAGCCCCAGCCGGCGGAGAGCAGCGGGCTTCCAGCGAAACACAACAGCATAACACATCGGCCCATTAATAATAGATACCAATTACTGCTTTGGGCATCAATAATTAACACCCCTTACAGTAATTACACAATTATTATTATGATGAATAATTTACCGGGGGAAATAGGTTTAGCGCTTCAGCGACGAAACCGTAAAAGGGTTGAAGACATTTGACGGCTCCGACTGATTCACCCTGACGGCCCCGTCGGCGCTGTCCCCAAACCCGACGGAACGAGGGACACCGAG